CTCACGGCGGCGGCCGCGGGGAAGCGAGGCCGCTCGGCCAGGCCGCCGATGCTGACAGGACGCGCCCCCCACCTCCAGCCCGCCCCCCTGGCCGCCGGGGCAGGGGCCCCCGCCGGCAGCGGCCGCTCGCGAGCGGGGGGCCTTGAGGGGGGGCCTCCTGACGGGGGTCACCTACCTCGAGCAGCGGTCGGTCAGCAAGGCCACTCTGAGCGACTACCAGAGGAGGGCGGGTTCTCGCAGCTCCACCTGGATTGGAACAGCTGGGGCCAGCTAGACACGATCGTGGTGACCTACTTCGACTACCTATACTTCCACGGGCACAGCGGCGACGACGCGTCGTGACTCCTGGCGGCCCTGAAGTTCTTCCTACCGCCGATCGGCCGCTGGGGAGACCAGGCGCTGTACCGTGCCTCCCGCAGCCTTGCGGGGCGGGGGATGTGCGCCCCCCGCAGGGCGCGCGCGCCGCTGCCTTGGCTGCTGGTCGCCGCTCTGGCTGGCGCGATGCTCCACCGCGGCCCGATCGAGCAGGCGATCGCGATGACCCTGAGCTTCGCGTGCTACCTCAGGCCGTCCGAGTGCGACCAGCTGGCGGCCATGCAGGTCGCCCCCCCCCGTCGCGGCGGGCGCCGAGGGCTCGGGGCTCGCCGCGCTGCTGCTGTGCCCTGGCGAGCTGGGGCGGCCGGAGAAGACAGGCCTGTGGGACTTCACGGTGGTGACAGACACCATTGTCTTCCTGGTGCCCGCGCTCCTCGGCCTGAAGCGGCGAGCGCCATCGGGAACGTCGCGGCTGCGGTCGCCCCCCCCCCCCCCCCCCCCCAGGCTCGCTCGGCACCGGCATGAAGGAGGCAGCCTGCGCGCTGGGGCTGGACGACTTCCCAGCCCCAGCCTACGGACTGCGCCACGGGGGTGCCTCGGACGACCTCTTGGCGAAGAGGCGGGCGGCCCTCGACGTTCAGCAGCGCGAAGGATGGGCTTCCGACAAGAACTTCAAGCGCTACACGAAGCAGGCTCGCATCATAGCAGAGCTGCATCGCGTCGGCCAGCAGGTGGTCTCCTTCGGCCAGTCCATGGACGCCATGCTGCCGGAGGTGTTCCTGCGCGGGGCGCCGCTGTCCAGGCCGTGCCTGACCTCGCGCGGGCGCTGGAGCTTGCAGGCCCAGACGTGGGAAGCCCTTCGACGAAATCGATCCGTCGCAACCTCCTCAGAGAACTTCACGAGAGTTTCAGAGGTCAGAAGGGCCCCCCCGTCGAACCGCTGTCTTGGAGTTGTGCGTTGGGACGGGCCGCCTGTCGGCAGCGCTGAGCCGCCGTGGGCTGGCCGCGCTGCCGATGGACTTCGCATGGAAAAGATGGAGCGATCTTGACCTTCCCGTCGTCCGTCAGGCTGTCCGGGGATGGGTGCGAGGCGGCGTCGCCTCGGTCGGTCCTTTGGATCGCTCTGCCTTGTTCGTCTTGGAGTCGGGGCAGACATGAGCCGCCGGGAACCTCTTGGTGCACCATCCGCTCGAGGGGCCACGTTTGGGGGCTGCCGAACCTGGCAGCCAGGACGCAGGCGGCCGTTGACCTCGGGAACCAGCAGCTCAGGTTCGCCCACGGTCTGATCGCGCTGTGCCGCTCGCTCGGGGTCCCCGTCTACCTCGAGAACCCTGGAGGCTCGCGGGTCTGGGCCACGCCCGCGCTGAAGGCCCAACTGGGGGCCGAGGACGCCGTGTCGTTCGACGTCGACATCTGCTCGTTCGTGGCCCGTTGGAGGAAGTTCACGCGAGTGGCCTGCTGGGCCCGTGATCACCTTGAGTGTCTCGTGATGCCGCGTTGCAGATGTAGAAAGGGTATTTGTTTTTTTCGGGGAAGCCCCACATAGTTCTCTCTGGTCTCGATCCCGTTTCTGGGATCCTCTGGACCCGACTCGCTGAGCCTTACCCTGTGCATTTTGTAGCTACTTCCCGGATTCATTTGCAAGGCAAACTGGGTTTCAAGGTCTCGAACATTTGGTCACCCTTGCCTGTCCCGTTTCTGATTAGTACATTCGCAAATGCTTTGTTGATTAAGATTATGTAATCTCGGCGCCGCCTTGCCGTCGCCAAATCTCCTCTCGGGCTCGGGTCTCCTCCCCGGTATTGTGTGGGTGCGTTGGGTCCTCCTCCTCCTCCTCTCTCTCTTCCGTGTGTCTCGTTCGCTCACTGCTGCGCCTCTGGTGGAATCGCCCGGGACGCCCGCCACGCAGAAACGTTGGGGTGGCCTGTGATGTAGCAGGAGATGGCCGTGTTTGCAAATCTCATCTCAGGTGGAACCGAGGGCCGTCGTGGTCGCGCTGATGCGCCGCAACCGCGTCGGCTCAAGTCTTTTTCTGGCCCGCCCTCCTCTCCCTCTTTCTCTTTCTCTCCTCCTCGGTGTTGTATGGGTGCGTTGGGTCCTCCTCCTCCTCCTCCTCCTCCTCCTCCTCCTCCTCCTCCTCCTCCTCCTCCTCCTCCTCCTCCTCCTCCTCTCTCTCTTCCATGTGTCTCGTTCGCTCGCTGCTGCGCCTCTGGTGGAATCGCCCCGGACGCCCGCCACACAGAAATGTTCGGGTGGCCTGGGGTGTAGCAGGAGATGAGGATGATGATGATGATGATGATGATGATGATGATGATGATGATGATGATGATGATCATGATGATGATGATGATGATGATGATGATGATGATGATGATGATGATGGTATGGTGTGTTGCGTCACTGCGTATATTCCGCACTCCGTCGACTCCGCTTGACCAGGTTTTGCCGCTGAAAGATGTTGCTGCTACTGCCGGTGATGCCCCACATTTCGGCACTGTCTCAGCATGCCAGGGAGCCATGGCGCGCGTCCTCTTCAGGACCCCGCACTACGCACCACCGTTCTGGAGACTTACGCCGGCGGACGGGGCCGACGTGAGCGCCTAGAAGATGATGAGCCCACCTCAGAGGAGGGACGCTCATGCCCACTCGCGCGACGACGACCTGGAAGACCTCCCCGAGCAGCCTCTCGAAGAAGAAAACCTCCAGGTCCCCCGCTTGAAAAAAGCCTCCACGAACACCTCCGCGAATTATGTCCCTACGAACAACCGCATGAAGAAGGTCCCCACAGGCGCTTGCGCGAAGACGACTACCACGACCGCCCACGCGAAGGAGGCCTCTACGAACACCTGCATGAAGAAGACCTCCACGAACACCATCGCGAAGATTACCTCAACGAGAATCCTGTCGGAGAAAGCCCCCACGAGCACCGGCATGAGGAAAACTCGCCATCACTCGTGCGAAGAAGGCCTCCACGGACACCGACGCTATGAAGAATATCTTCTTGAACACCCACGAGGAAGTCCCCCGCCACCGCCCGCCTGGAGAGGCCCACGAGCCCCCGCCCGACGAAAGCCTCCGCGAGCACCTTCTGGAACGGTCTCAAACGATTGCCCGCGTGACGAGGAACCTCACGAGCACCCACATCAGGAAGACTTCCGCCAACACCCGCGCAAAGAAGACCTCCACAAACACCAGCGCGACGAAGACCTCGTGCACCCGCGCGGAGATTACCTGCACAAACACTTCCACGAATATGGCCCCACTGGCGCTTGCGAGAAGAGGCCCACGAGCGTTCTCCCGACGAAGACCTCCGCGAGCATCCCCTTGAATAAGGCCTTCGTTGAAGACCCTCACGAACACCCGCGTGAGGAAGACTTCCGCCAGCACTCACGCGAAGAAAATGTCGTAACGGCGGTGGCACGGCCGGAACTGAGTTGTAACGGCGCCCCCGGTGTCACGGCGTCACGGGTCGTCGCGGCGGCGTCGCCTCCACGAGTGCCAACACGGTGAAGACCTCCACGGACACCCGCGCGAATAATACATCCGCGAGCACTCCCACGAAGAAGACCCCCACCGGCGCCCGCGTGAAGAGGCCCGCGAGCATCCCCAAGATGAAGGCCTCCAAGATCACCCCCGTAGAGAAGGCCTCAACGATTGCCCACGCGACGAAGATCCTCTCGAGCACCCGCGCGAGGAAGACTACTGCCAACGCCCGCGCGAGGAAGGCCTCCGCGAACACCGGCGCGCTAAAGACCACCACGAACACCCTCGCGAAAAAGGCCTCCCCTAGTGCGAACACCGCGACGCCGAGGATGAGCCCGAATGCGCCGTAGAGCTCTACGTGTCAGTAGCACTGGAAGCTGGTGATGGCAACGCGCATGCAGAAGTGACCGACCGCAGCGTGCCTGCGAAGTGGCTTCTCACACCCAATATCCACCAACCGCGCCAGAGTCATGTGGGACAACAGAAAGAGGTAGACGGAGACTGGAACCACGAACGCGTTTTGTTGAACATGTTTGGACGCAACCCGCAGCTTTCCGAGCTATGCCATGGGCCACGAGCTGGCGGCGGGGAGCATAATACCAGGCGCCTTAACTCCCCGACGAAGAGCCTAGATGATTCCGGATGGCGTAAACGCTCGGTGGCCCGTCCCACCCGCCAACGGTGCGTCCGTGGAAAACGTAGACGAAGAGGAACACGAATGGCCAGAGGGACCCGAATATCAAGGAGTAGCGATGATATGGTTTGCGTCGCTGCGTGTATGCCACAGTCCGTCGACTCCGCCTGACCAGGCTTCGCCGCTAAATGATGTTGCCGCTACTGTCGATGATGCCCCACGTTTCGGCACCGTCGCAGCATGCCAGGGAGCGATGGCGCGCGTCCTCTTCAGGACCCCGCGCTGCGCACCACCGCTCCAGAGATATGCTTAGGCCAGCGGGCGGGGCCGACGTGAACGCCTAGAAGATGATGACGGTGATGCTGATGATGATACAGGTGATGATGATGGTGATGATGATGGTAATGATGATGGTGATGATGATTGTGTTGATGATGATGATGATGATGATGATGATGATGATGATGATGATGATGACGATGCTGCTGATGACGAGGAGGAGGAGGAGGAGGAGTAAGAGAAGGATGAGGACGAGGAGGAGGAGAAGGTGGTGCAGGAGGAGGAAGAGAAACAAACACGAGGAGCATTTTTTCAAGACGTTCGTTGTCTGAATCTGGCAACCTGGGGAGCCGTCGGGACGCCATGACGCCAAAGCCGCCCGGGCCAGAGCGGGAGGCCGCCGGGCCGCCGGACGTCGAAGACGCACTAGCGGCGCTGAGCGACACGACCCCGGTTGACGTGGCCGAGTGCCGGGCGGCCTGCGAGGCCTCGGTCGGTCCGTTGCTGCCTCGCCGCCGCGCCGTCGCAGTCGCGGTCGTCCTTTTCTACCGCCGCCGCCGTCGTCATGGCCGACGCCGCCGCCACCGTTGTGCTTATGGCCGTCGTCGTCATCGTTGTCGTCGTCGCCGCGTCGGCGGCAGCGCCGCCGCCGCCGTCGACATCGCGGCCGTTGTCGTGGCCGTCGTCGTCGTGGCCGTTGCCGCGGCCACCGCTGTCGCCGTGGTGGTGTCTGCAGGCACTGGAGGCCGCCACCCTGCGCAGCTGCCGGTGCCACCGCCGCGTGCTGGACGCAGACGGCGCCCGCTCGCTGGTGCTGGCGATGCAGCGGCATCCAGCCGACGCGGAACTGCAGATCGCTGCCGCCGGAGCCCTGCAGCACCTGGCGGCCTCGGAGGATTTCGGCCGCACAGATCCGAAGAAGGGAAAGATGCGGCATAAACATATACGCCGCCAGGGGGCTCCCAGCGCCGCTCATGTTTATGCAGTTTCCTTGTACCTTTGAAGGCCGCCCAAATTGGGCGGGAGCCGCGCTATGTTTACGGGGAAGCTGGATAGACATGACGCGGCCAGCGTAGGCGAGAGCTGGATACACATGTAGCCAATTGTCTCCCCAGCGCTCGACCCTTCTATGGTCAGGCTCGCAGGGCTTCCACCTGTGAGTCTAGCGCGTGGCCTCCAGCTGTCCCACATGTGAATCCAGTCATGCGTGTTTTCAGCTTCCTGGTAGATCGACGGTGTCCGCGGCTCGGTTCGATTGGCCACGTCGCGGTCGGCTGCACTCGGCTGGTTCGGCTCGGTCGGCTGCTGCGTTGCCGCGGCCTCGTGTGCTACTCTCTGTGCGCCTGTTTCGGTCACTGTCGGTTCGGTCGGTTTTCGGGTCTGCCCTTGCCGTGGACGTCCGTGTAGATGACGTTCTTTTTTATCCCCTGGCGGTAACGGGCGTGACCTGGGGCGGAGGGGAGGAGGGGTGAGGGGGCCGGGCACGTCTCGATTCGCGCCGTCGTTTTCTGGGAATACCTAAGACTGGCTAGTTCCCAGACGGCGCAGGCGCACATCGTGACGCGACAGGGTGGGGGGGATGGGGCGGGGGGGCGGGGCCAGGCACGGACGTTATCACAAATACTAACAAAACGGGCTATGTATTCGGAGGCTGGTTTTCCTCTTCCTGGCGTCACCGCTGTTCATCGCCCGATGCGTTGGCGACGTGGTGCGATCTTCGAAGAAGAACGAATGAAACAAGCCTCAACTTTCGGAGGTCCGCGCGGATTTCTTGGATCTGCGTTGGGTCCCTCCCTTGCGCGTGGAGCGCGCCTGGGACGGCTCTGGAGACGCATCCAGGGAGGTCAGATCTGGCCCCAGGGTAGTTTTCTGTTCCTTTAGCTCTGGCCCCATCTACCCTGGGCCCATTGAGGGGTCCTCCAGAGGAGAGGGACACGTGTTCCCAGCTGGTGGCGGCGGGTGCCTGTGAGGCGATCTGCACGGCCCTGACGGCGCACCCGCAGCACAGCCCGCTGCAGCAGGTGGCCTGCAACGCGCTGGAGATCCTCGCGCTCGGCAGCTCGGAGGCGAGCCAGTTGAGACAACGGCGGTCCTCCCTGGCGTGTTTTGTCCTTTTCGGGCCTCCTGGGAGCTTTCCGTCGACACGGATGGATCCGACTCGACAAGCGGGCCAGGATGGACCCTGGGAGGGGTGCGGGGACCGATTCTGAACGGACCTGGGCCTGGCGGGAGATCCGCCGCTGCCCCCCCCCCTCAGGTGATGTGAAAAACGCATTGGGCGTTTTTTTTTAATGTTTTTTGTTGCGAGACGAGAATCACGAACGGAAAAAAACTGACCCAAAACGAACAACAAAACGCCCCCAGCACTTTAAACATCATCTAAGTTTTCACCTGGCCCTCCGAGCAGCTCGCAGGCCGGCGTGGCCGTGGCCGCGGAGGGCGGCGCAGATGCCGCGGTGCAGGTGCTGAAGGCACCGAGCGCGGGCTTGGAGGCGCGGCGCGCGGCGGCAATGATGCTGCAGGCGATGCTTGGCGTCGGCGACGAGGTCGTGGACCGCATCGTGAGCCAGGGCGGGGTGCCCGCCGCCGTGTCGGCGCTGTGCGACCAGAAGGACGACCCGCTGATGCAGTATTGGGGGCAGGAGAGCGTTCTTTCATTTCCTGACGATAACGGGTGTGAACATGGGGGGGAGCGGGGGAGGGGTCCAGTCACGTCACGATTCGCGCCGGCGCCGTCTGGAATGGCTAGTTCCTGGACGGCGCTGGCGCGAATCGTGACGTGACTGTGGAGGTGAGGGGGAGGGGGGCAGAGGCGGGGCCAGTCAGTGGCCTTCTCGCGAATGATGACAAAACCGGCTCCAGATGCTGCTGCGGGGGCTTTGCGCCGGAAAGGCGGAGGTGAAGGCGGAGGTCCAGAGGAAGTGCCACTGGCAGGGCGTGGAGTTGGACCTGGCCTGAGCCGGGTCGCCAGCGCGAGCCGCGGGGCGCGTGGCGGTGGGGGGCGGATCTGCGCCAGCACTGACTACCGTTGCGTTCGCGCGAGGTCTCGAGTAGACAGGTGAGGACGCAGTGGTTCGCAGGGCTACGGCAGGTTCGTGTCCCCCAGAATCCTGGCGTCGCAATTTGTTTGCAACGGGCGATTTTGCCTTGTTTCGGGCCCTGGGGCCCTCACGGATCGATCTGGTTCGACAAATGCATCGGAAAGATGGGGTCCAGGGCTTTGACCGAGATTCTTCGTACGATTATTTTTTTTGTCACGTCGGATCTCAGGGTCGTACCGACGCGGTGGCGACCCCAGCGCGGTGGCCCAGAGCCGGCCGATATCTACCCGCATGCGCTATTGGGGAGCCACGAGCACTCAAGGCTGAACGATCCACGTGGCGTTAGAAACCATCGCCGAATCTGGCACGACACGAATCTGCCGTGTTCAGTGATCGCCCGACGGACACGACCCGACCCCACCCGCCTCCCAGGTGGGACTAGATTCTCTCGGGGGTCACCAGCGAGTGCTAGCGGCGCACGCAAGAGGGGTGGCGATTCGGGAGGGTGGACCTTCTGAGAACGCAGGGGGGCTTCTTTCCAGGGCCCGGGGGCTTCTAAGAAGCCTTCTTAGAGCGCGGGAGGGTTTCTGAGAAGACCCTAGCCTTCTTAGGTCCCTCCCCGCTGCGTGCCAACCCCTCTCTGTGCGCCGCCAGAAGCGTCTGGGGACCACTGGGCCACCCAGTGGGCCCGCTCAGGTCAGATCAGAGCATTTGGCCAAGTCCACAGGAATCCTCGTTGCCGCTCCGTCCAACACGTTCGCATTGGAACCGTAGAAACTTGGTGGAGCAGCGGCAGGCAGACCACGTGCTCTTCAAATCGCCAGTTTGAGCAACTGCTTGGGTGGGTGGTCTCGACTTCGATTTCTTGAGGGCCTGGGAAGGCTTTTCTCTCAGCATAGCGTAAAGCCTCGGGCTAGCAAATCCCGGGTGCTCTTTGATCTGCCCCGCCCCATCGCGTGATATCTCGTTCGACGAAGCAACACTCGGCAACACGCTGAGCAACACTTGGCAACACGGTGGGTGTAGGGAGTGTGGTTTGTTGTTGGTGCCTGCTGGGGGGCTGAGATGTCCAAACAGTAGTTCGGCCAGCAGAATGGGGGAGAAGGGCCCCCCTCGTCGCCACGGCTGGGCGGCTCGAACAACTTGTTAGTTTCTACCCCGGGAGGGGTACATGGACCGATTTCGAGATGATTTGCCCTCGTCCCCCCCTCTTGGCACATTCTCTCGTGACCCATCCAGCGCAGGCCCCACGGCCGTTTCCAAGTGTGGTGTGCTTCAGGAAATACAACTTTGTTTTCACAAGGAATAGGTTTGTTCCTTGCCGTGGCTGGCTCGAGTCGGTTGCGACTCCGTGCGAATGTAGCCCGATTCGGTGCGCATCCGTTCTGCTCCGACCCAATATTGCGATTCGATGTTGATTGATAGTGCGATTGTGAGAATGGTCAGACCAGGGCTGCGGGCCAACTGCTGTCGCCGATCCAGTTTTCACCTCCGCTAGTGGGTGGGTGAGGGGGATGAGAGGAAGCAGCAGGTGCCAGATGTAATGCCTTCTAGCAGTAGCCAGCTTGAGCACCGTCGGGGCCGGGCTGATGTGGTGATGTTTCTGTGTGTGCTGTGTGTGTGTGTGCCTGTGTGTGCGTGTGTGTGTGTGTGTGCATTGGGGTTGTCAGAATTGGGTGCTGCTCTGTCGCCACCAGTGCCACTACATGTGTCTGAATATTAGTAGTCTTGTTGTGTGTTGTATGTGCATCAAGTCCTAGATTTGTATCATCAGTGATTTGGCGACGATTGGTGTTCGCTAGTGTTTGGCAGTGCAACTTGACTCTGCTTGTTGCAGCACCAACTTGTCGGACAGCAATATTACTTGTCTTGGCCTCAAGTTTGATCTACCACTGCAGCATGCCGATCTTCCGTCACAGCCAACAGCAATATCTTCTGATTGGTCGAAACAATACCTTCTGCTTGGGCGAGTTTACATGCTGCTGGGATGATTGCTGCTCTGGGCGATGGCCAGCAGGGATATGCTTGCAGCATATTGTACATGTGACGGGAGTGCGCCTGAATACGCCGCGGTGGCAAGCACTATGATAGCCGCGGGGATGAGCTATGGTCAAACGTTGTTTTAGGGCGCAGGTGCTACATGTCTGGTCGTTCTGCCGCTTTGAACATGTACGCTGGCGCCGACATTCCATGCGAACATGTCGTTCACCTGTGCCTGCTGGCACCAGCTTGTGATCAACGTGTCGGCAGATTTTAGTTCTTCGCATCGGCGGTTGAGGGCCCTTGCCCAATCTCGTTTTTTGCATTTGGCAGCTTGGCAACCTCGGCGTTACCAAGCTCCACGTCGTGCCGTGGCCTGTCCAGTCCCAGTGGTCCATAGCCAGGAGGCCCGCCTAAAAAGTCAAATAATGCCAACATGATAAGACAATAATGCCAGAATGAAGGGTCAACAATGTCAAGAATGCAGAAGTATTTGGACAATATTGTTAAAATCCCAGGAAATGTATGGACAATATTGTTAGAATCCCAGGAAATGTTTGGACAACAATGTTAGAATTCCAGGAATATATGGACAATAATGTTAGAATTCTAGGAATATATGTTAGACGCCTTTCTTTTGTTCTTGTCTTTCGCCCCCTAGGCCCTAGGTCTCCTTAACTTCGACTTTGAGGACATCGGTGCGGGCGCGCCCCAGGACACCAATCCGAAAAAACATTCCCGAGATAACCCGCTGAATTGTATTGCATGCGTATGTACGTATATTGGAAACCCGCGCGCACTCACCAGCCCAAGAGTGTGTCCAAGAACCCCGGCGATTCTAGGGCAGACGCTTCTTGGGAAATGACAGCGAGAATCTCGAAGTTGCCAGTTTTCCGGGAAAAGTGGTTTGCCTGTGTCTTCCTCTAAAGGGTCGGGCGGGCACAACTTGGCCCACGCGCCGGAGATTCCCATTGGGTCGCCTTGCACAGGGCTGGCGGAATGATCATGAGATCATGAGATAGTTCTACGCAGGGGGTCGTCATTAATCACGTCCTCCTGCTCTTCCTCCTCCTCCTCCTCCTCCTCCTCGTTCACCTCCTTTTCTTCCTACTCCTACTCCTCCTCCCTCCTCCTCCCCCCCTGGACCCTTCCCTTTGGCCCCGCCCTCCCCGCGGCCCAAGCGACGTCGGCAGGGGGGGCAGCGGGCAGGCCTTAGAGCCTCGCCCGCGCTCGATTCCGACGCTTCCTCGCGAACGGGGTGAGGTGTGAGTTAGCAGTAAGCACACAAACCAGGATGAGACGGCACCCTCCTCCTCCTCCTTATGCCCGTCCTCCTTCCCCTCCCCCTTCTCACCCTTTACCTCGTCCACTCCCTCCTCTTCCTTCCCCCGTCCCTCCTTCGCATCCGAGTTCGGGACTCCAGGAACTCCGAGAGGACAACGTCTCGAGGGCACCAATGGGTCGCCACCAGATATCCGACGGTCGCCACCATATGAGGACACCATGACCATGAGGACACCGAAATAGGGGCACCACGAAGACACCCAAGGACACCCACCATGAGGACACCACCATAGGCCATAGGACACCATATGAGGACACTGGGGATCAAGGTCCCCAGGTCTTTGATGACCCCCCCGCGCTTCTGTCAGGAGCTCCTTAAGGACCGTGGGGACAGACACGTTCTGTCCCGACCTCTCACGCACAGGTCCTCCTGGACATCCGTGGGAGGCTATGTTATGTTACGCGACACTTCAGCAACGCGGTAGTATTGTACTTGCACGCCGCGGCGACGTTAGTAATTGATATTGCGTTCGCCGCGTTTTCTTTATTTAATACAACAGGGCGATCGTGTGTTGGTATATTATAGAAAAACCTCACACCGACAATGATATAAATGATCAACTGGGCAGTCTGCTCGGAGTCATTTTAAGTATTTGGCAAGTGGGTTGAGTGAGTTTATCATGGTGCAGTGGGTTGTATATCATGTTATCGCCAGTTGGAGATGCATTTATCAAGGGGAGGGGGGCTTAGAACTTCCATTGGCGGGTTCGCGCGGCAGCGCAAATTGATAGTTCACCTCATCCTCCTTCTCCTCCTTCTCCTCCTTCTCCTCCTCCTCCATCTCCTCCTTCTCCTCCTCCTCCTCCACTGTAGGACGGCTCAATGCTTCATTCGCAATGCACCGAGATTGTACGTGCAATGACATGCGCTCGCTATGACAGTCTCCTGGCGACTCTGCGACTACTGATCGCAGCAGCCCGAACCAACGCTTGTGGAACGACTGACGAAGGTTCGCCTGCTTCGGGGGTCCACGGGCAGTGCCGCACCATGAAAAAGAATATTGCAAACCCAACAATGCAAGGATTGAATGAATTCCCTGCTTGCTCTAGGACCGCCTTCCTCGCCCGGGCGGGCAAGTCAAAGGCCTCGCGCCTCCTCGAAAAAGACGTCGAGCCTCCCTCCCCACTTCCCATTACAATCTACAAGCGTCTGAACAATGAAACTCCCCTGACTCCCTTCCCTCCCCTCCAAGATCTGCGAACTGCGGATAGACAGGGAATCCCATTGACAATATCGCCTCCAGAGGTGTAAACCAGCGATGCTCCCGCACGCAGTAAATGATCGAGGTGGACGATTTCACAATGGTGAATAAGTTTGGCCCAGACCCAGTAGTGTGGCTATGGAAATCAGGGTTTTGGTCTAGAATGCATGCGCCCTCGCACCCATTTCGGATATAAGCGTGTAAGTTCCCGATCTCAAAGTCACTGAGGCTTCCTTCGAAGGTCCGCGCCTCCACGGGCAGGGTATAGGCCCGAGATGATCTTCTCGAAGAGGCCCATGCAAGCTCGGACTCGAGCTCATCTGAAGACGCCAGCAAGAAAGCTCTGAAGTCGATGCCACATTCTCGGGCGACCCACTGTGCAAATTCAGCCCATGTCCACTGGGAAATTGTTCTGGGCAAATAATCTGCAATCAGACGTTTATGGATCATGATGGTTACCCTACGCTCCCTGTTCACAGGAAAACCCATGTTGGCGACATCTAATATAGCCGTA